AGGTTGCTTCACTCCATCCCTGCCCTGTCTTGCATCACTCTCCCTTATCAGTTCCCTCTATTCTTTTCATACTTCTGAGCTATATGACCCCCTCTACAACCCCTCAAACACAAAGGTGGCACAGACAGACAAAGATAACAAAGATATACTGTAGATAGATTAGATAGATAGATGTGGTTAGAAGAGAGTGAGCTATTTATACATTCCAAAGCGTAATATTACAAGACGAGAACAAGGACAGAGTGATGAAAGACGGGAGGCATGTTATAAACATTAGAAGGGAAATATGGTGAATGGTGTAAGAATGCTAATGAAGATCAGATGAGCATGAGGGAGAGAGAGGGTAGGAGGGATAGGAAGGAAGGAAGGAAGGAAGAGAGAGGGAAGATCATCACAAGGTTTTAAGAGGAACAAGAGGCAGTGGGAGTAACGAAAGATGGTAAAACCGAGAAGACAAATGGAAAAGCAATTAAGAACGAAAGAGGGAGTTAAAGGGGAAACAAGAACACAGCTTTGAACAAAAACTGAATGAAACAGATGAGAGACACAGACAGAGATAGAATTTTCCTATTTTGGATGTGGCGGATTAAATACCGAGTAAGTGTCAAGGTAAATGAGGTGATAAACAATTAGTGAAGAAGTGACAGCAACAGGTAAGCGTCAAGGTGAATGAGAGACAGTAAGTGGTAAGTGTCAAGGTGATATATAATTAGCAAGGGAGTGAGTCCGTCTGTAAGTGAATGTAATAACCGTTGAGTGCCTAAAGTACTACCACAATGGACAACACAAGAGCCAGGCTACCTACAGTACAGTACATATAGCTAACACAAGACTACCAAAGGACTGGCAGTGTGTTGAGTTCCCCAATGAGTGTAAAAGGCAATTTCACAAGATATAATGATAAAAACTGTAGGATAAATGTGTGAAGAATACCTAACAGGGACGCGTGTGGAAGTTAATGAGAAAAATACGACAAAAACAGTGCGTGTGTGTGTGTATAATGTTAGGGCTGACCCATGTGCATTCTGGATAATCAAAGCCTTTATATTCTAGAACATGGAAATTGTCTCAAGAATTAGCATGAATTTATTTGTAGCATTTAAGGAACTATAGAAGCAAATGACAAGAGTAGATAGAAAAGAAGTGTGGGAAGTACTGTACCAAAAAGATTCAAAGAAAATGGGATATTGTTGAATGCTATCCAGAGTTCTTTAAATGGAGAATGACACATTTGGTTATTTTTTTGTAGTGGGGGGTGTTTGTCAAGAGGGGAAACTGATTCCTAGTGAAAGTACAGTACAACTAAATCAAGGACGGTTCAACAGTAGAGGAAGAGTTAGAGAGGAGAAGGGTGTAAGTTTAGTGAATATTGCATTTAATATGCTTGACGATGTTGGTGAAATAATTCTTGAAACCTCAGCAGAAGGAAGTGCCATTACAAGTTATAGAAAAGTAATCTTCACACCAATGGACACGTGTTTTGGGTAATATCTCCTTTACACTGATACTGTATTACGTGTTACTGTAGATATTATCAAATCTACAAAAATTTTCACAGGATCATGATTTTCTGGATTAAAAATGTGACAGAAATAATAAAGACTAACACTGAAAATGGAATAAATACTCTGGCTAACATCTGAACACACTAGCTACCCGGTAGGTATACTCAGCACAGTAAAACAATGATGAAAGTGTATTACAGTATCTCACTCACTTTTCATCGTCCCTACATTTTTCTGTAGCTACCTCAAAAATGACAAAGAACAAAAGAGAGGAGGCTTCATCACGATACAGTGGTTACATAAGGTAATATGATGCAACTCCACTCAGTTGATCATACCCGGGGGCTCAAGGAGAGGGTAGGGTGGGGTGGGGGCAGCAGGTGGGCTCAGATGGGCAACTGGCCTGTGTTGTCTGCAGTGTTCATAGTTTGAATTTAGGAACACATCTTTTAAATCTCTTTGCCGCTGTATGCCTTTACCGAATACTTCCCAGGCCATTTATTTTCTCTTAAGTTTATTTTTTATTTGTGATATTTGGATGTATGAGCTCCTATGCTTCTACTGACCAAGTGATGTTGAGGCTTGAGTTATAACCTGTTTAGGGTCATTGTTGGTCATGATTCTACCCCTCCATGACACTCGCATCACAACACACCCCTGTACTACCTACCCATCTCATGTGTATGTCTCAACAATACAGGTAATGAGAGGGTAGACAAGTTAGGTGCAAGTGTAGACATCGAGGGTCTGTTAGATACGAAACCTCCCTTCTGCTTGATTACTGGCAGTCCTCAGTATGCAAAATGGATGAGTAAAGCAACATTGCATATATCAGGGAATTCGTATAGCGAGGACTGCCTGTATATGGAAAGAGAAGTGCAATATATGAGGGTTTCTCTGTATCATACATCAAAGAAATAAAAGAGGTGCAAACTGATTGGTCTAAATAATGAGAGACTGGTTGTAGAGTACTCAAATTCTTCACAGAATAAGAGCGCAAATGATGACGGAAAAAGTGCCAAGAAATGCAAAAAAGTGCTAATAAAGGCAAAACGGTACTAAGGAAGGTGAATAAGTGCTCAGGAAGGCAAGAAAGTGATAAAAGAATGAATGGCGAGAGTGTTAAGTCCATACAAGATAGTTTCAATTATACGGGAGGGAAGGGCAAGAGATAAGGTAGCAACTGTATACAGATAACGTCCAGGTGGAATAGAGAGGGTGATAAGAATGAGATCACCTGAAGATTGAACACCCCAGTTTATTACACCAGATGATTAAACACCCTAATACTACCTGGAGGAGGGGGTGGGGGGTAGATTAGTGTTAGGATGGTTAATCTTAAGGTTAAATAAATAAGCTGGGGATAGTCTTCCTATGAATGCATGAATGAATTATAATGGAAGGAAAAAAAAAAAATGGAGTCGCGTGTGTGTGTGTGTTATCAAGCATTTATATTCAAGAGTATAAATAAAATACAACCAGTAAGCACAGTAATGGGAGAATCTGGCAGTTGCTTCGATGGATCTGGCTAAACCAAAAGATCAAATTAATATAAAACAATGAGGCAAATAACTTCTGGAAACACAGGGATAAATATAAAAACTATTAAGTGTAGTCCACTATTTTATATAGAGCAAATAGAGCATGTTACGTGTGTCGTATAAGGGGCAATGAGGTGCCAGTGAAATCTGAATTAGCATTTATAAGTTCACCAGTCAACTTTCTTCCTTGTACTGTATTAATCTATTCCTAATTTCACTCTCATTACCATACCATTCTTACTTAACATTTCTTCGTACCATAAACCTTAAAGCTCCTCCCATATTTCATTCTTCCTCATTTTACATTTTGATTGGCCACTTTTCTCTTTTGTATTATTTACCAAAATCCACTGTTTCAAACTCTTCCCTCCCGAAAAACCATTTCTTTATTCATGTCGACATTTACGCCCAATTGCCTTCTGTCACGCACCATCAAATACATTTCAAAATTTTGCCGTTCACGTTCAATCTGCACAAAAGCACTGCATCATCCACATCATAGACATATTACACTTTCCAGCCTAACTCTGCACAAGTCACCTTTGTCATCATTTCACCTCATCACAACACCCATAAATATGCTGAACAGTCAAGGAAACATCAAACGCATCTCTGCCTCGCTCCTACTTTCACCTCAAAGCACAATTTGTCCACCGTTTATTTTCACACAAGCTTACAGTACTACTTTAGCTGATTGCCTTCACCACATCAAGCACCTTTCCTTCTAATGCTAATGTGTCCTGATCCACTCATCATAAGCCTTCTCATTATAGTATCCAGAATTGCAACAAGTAGTTTTCTGTTTTTCTAATGTATTTTTGTGCAAGCATTTCGACTCATAACTCCTAATTCCTCTAAATGAGTAAAATTCACAACCCATGAAATCTGGTTATTATAAACACTATCTGATCTATTTTTAGCTATTAGGGGGAGGAGAATCGTAAATTGACTAATGTCACACGATCCAACCAGACTAGCCACAAATACTGGTGATTATTAAAGTGTCATGGCTTGGAACACATATTGGTCCAGTCCAGTGAATCATCATTTATGTCTCTCACACATTCACATGGCTCATCCCAGGAGATGCCATACTTATGGTTCATGCTCCTTTAATTACCCAGAGTTGGCCAGAAAAATATACAGATATGAATTTTTCCCACCATTTTCTATCATGATGATGTATGGTAAAGTAGTAATTTACCCCAGAGATTGTGTTTACTTTATGTATCGCCTTATTTCATGTCATGGCATGCAAGATACATCACACAACTACTGGTTATTAAGTTGTAGGTTTCCCCACTGAATACCGATAGCTACCATACAGAGCTAAAACTTTTCTTTTTGGGGGGTTAACAAGATAGTGTTTTGAAGACTGACTTGTCCTCACTGTCACTCCTCGGAGCTTAGAGAATGCAGGTCCCCTATAGTATTTATGTACTTAGTGATTTCTATCAGTAAGTGTTGGGATTCTTGATTCTCTTTCTTTACCTCAGTGCTGTAATTTCAATGTCAACATCAGTATAATCTGGTGGACATAATAAAGCATTAGTTTGTGTATACAACTTTTCCCAACTTTGTATTAAATGTGTTAAGTTTTTCTTTTTATTTGTAACAGCATTTCCCAAACCAAGAGTTACCTAACAATGTTAAGTTACAGTAAATAAATTTACAGTACTAAAGTGAGCAATTCCTGAGCAGAAACATCTGATAGTGATGAACTTGAGGGATTAAGGGGAAGAGTAGCTGCCTATGAATCAAGGAAGCACTTAAAAAGGGTAAACAATCTAATATACAAGTAAACATTCAAGTGGTCAACTCACGTCATTTATACATATGGTACCAGTATGATAAATACAACAGTTAAGTGAATTTCATTTCAGTGGAGAGGAATTCAATGATTTGCCTGATGCAAAAAATCCTTACAAAAATAAACAGACAATACAGTACTTACTGTTATGGATGAAATTAATGGTGTTGATGCAGGCAAGGAAACTTGTGGTTGTAACCTTCTCATCTGTTCAGAGGTAAGACCCGAGAGTAGTGCCTGCATATTAGGAGTACCAGTGTATGCAGATGCTGCAGCTGCTGCTGCTGCTTGACCATTGACCAGAGTGGCCCACTGAGAGTACAGGGAGTTGAGAGAGTTGATATTATTAAGCGAGCTAGTCAACGACGCCAGAGAATTAGAGGTGCCCGCTACTGAAACAGCCACTGAGGAGGCAGGTGGTGTGTGGCTAGAAGCTGTTGTTGCGGTTGGAGGCTTGCTGGCAATAGGTGTTAGAGTAGTTGAGGAGGATGCCAATGAGGTTTGTGTTAACCCACCAGAGGATCCCCCAGGAGGTCTTTGTGTCCACATCCCCCCAGGTTTTGTGCCGTGACTCGCAACTTTCATTGGTTCTGCTGTTTTCTGTGGCCACCAATCCTCAAACTGTGTATCCTTTGGGAAATACTGTTGCACATCCTCTAAACTAACCACTGCACAAGTATCACTGGCAAATAATTCGTTTCTTATTCCTTGAACTTTACAACAAAATTTGAGGTACGCAAGTTCCCAATTATCAACTTTTTCTGCCTTTAGCTTTAGTGTATCTGTTTCACCCTCAAAATAAAATAAAGGTACGTACTTTTCTTTATCTTTTACAGTATACGGCACAACACTCTCACCATTTATTCTCACAAATCCACAATATTCACTTTGCTCGTGAGATTTTTGCACCAATTTCTTAAAGCATGTATCTAGGAACTTGTAAAAGCACTGTGCATCCTGTAATCTCACCACTAAATCTTTGGTTGTGAAAAGGTCGCGTCCAAACTGAAACTCACAATGCTTCATGTTTATTTCATTTAGTAACTTTGCCTCTGCTTCTGTGATAAAGTAACTTCTTACATGAATGCACGTGGTTATCTCATGAGGGAGGTAGCTCAGGTATTTGTTAAGCAACTTTGTTTCCACCATCCTCACTGCACAGTATTTGTCCTCCCGTCTGAACACGTACGGGATGTGAGTGCTGTGGATGATGGACCAGCCAAAACGCCCTCGCACACTCTCCTCATCAATGGTCCCTTTCTTCTTTTCGTCCAACTTCTTGGGAATAATGGAGTCTTCACTTCCTATATCCTTATTTTTCTCACGATTGAAGTAAAATGTGATCATCTGTTGTCCACCAGCACGCTGCAGGGCCTGTAAAATATTAAAACATTATGTCAGAATCTTGATATTTTGTTTACCTCTATTACATAAATAGTGGAGTAAGATATTAAACTTCTAAGCCTTAATAGTTAAAAATCAAAATAAAAACAGATGGATGCTTTTACCTAATCAAGCATTCTTTGCAGCCAAATGAAGTAATAAAAATGCCACAGATACCGAGTGATACGCCAGAGCAAGCCATGTTCCCCAAATTTAAGCAACTGACTAATAATTCTCTCAAACACCCAGAGATAAAATGATACTGTACTGTATTTCTAGATTACCGAGCACAACTACAATAATTAATACCATCAGCCTCAAATGCAAACTTGGCCTATAGTATTTATATTAATCATATCTCCACTAAAAAAAGCTTGACTGCTACTCATCATTATTCCATAACTTGAGGGGTGGCAATCCTCAGGAGGGAAGAGTTAGTTTAACCTTGGTCATTCACTAACAGAATATAAACACAAGACCTGACAATACTCTACTGCAACATAATATTGTATATGTATTCACAATTTATGGGTTCATGTATATGTAGTATCCATGTATATAACTGGCCTTACTAACTTGCGAACTTGTCATCGTTAGTACAGTATAGGGGATAAAAAGTGTTAGTGTTCATTTATTACCATAGAAGAAGTTGAACACAAAACAATTTAATGCTTATGTGAAACCCATTACTGAATTAAGCATTACCAGCACAAACATCAGTACAAGTATACACAAGTTTTCTTACTTATGAAACTTATCATTAAGTTAAGCTTTGCATGTAGGTATATCTGGCCGCAATAAACACGTAAATAAAGGCCCAGGATACATGATTAATTAAGCACTGTAAATAAAAGGAGAAAAGTATTGCACTCTTTTTTTCCAGCCAATTTTGAGAGAATATGTGAACAAAAAATTAAAAAAGTTATGACACTAACTTAATAACAATGTACTGTACCATCCTCTATTACTTATTCCCACTATCATTCTTTAAACCTTGAATACTTCAGCACTTCTACAGGTAAGTTGTAATGCAAAGTGGGCGAGAAATACCCGACACATTGCTATTTAATGGGGTGCGACAGCCAAGTACTCACATCTATTCCAAGAGTCATTGGTTTGTACCCGGAACACCATGGTCTACCCAACTGTGAATGGGTACCTAATAGGTTGTTTAGCTAGTGTGCTCCCTTCCCCTATGCCTGAAATATCTCCCTGGTTTATTCCTGTCACTTCGCAGAATAAAATAATTACTGTATATGTACACACCTGTTGTGAAGCCTGGGTCTGCTGGGCAATCTGTGCTGCCTGGGAGATCATCTTCTGCTTGTTCTTCTCAGCCATTTCAATAGCCAGCTGGTTGATCTCCCGGTCATCCAGCCGCTCCTGCTTGATCCGCGGAGCTGGAAAAGACAAACACGAGTTTAACAGAGGAGCCGTACCAGTAACACAGATGGAGTAAACAAAACATGAAGAGCAGTGATGGCATGGAATATTTTCTACATAATTGTTGTAAAATGGTAAAAATCGCCAGCAATACTACTGGTATCCCAATTACTTAATAATTTCTTTGCCATTTCACCACTTATCAGCTTACCAACCATTCAGGCAGTTGGTCTGTTCTTTGTTACGACCTTTATTGTCCATTGTTGCTAGAGGAGTACCTGGAGAAAACCTGCGAAGGTTAATTAGGTCACAGATCTGTCCTGAGCCGGAGACTGAACCCAGGACACAGTTGTGAGAGATACTTGTATTACCCACAGTACCATAAATCTGCCTATTCAGTGTACAACAACCAAGTCATTCACGTACAGTACAGTAGGGTTAAAACTATCTTCAACGCTGTAAATGGTATTCTATTTTCATCTGCATTCACGGTAATTTTTTATTTTTTCTTCTTCTTATGTTTATTTATTATACAGGACAGTACAGTACTTCACTTTATAAGACAGGGAGAGGCCTACTTGCCCCCCTCCTCCTCGGTGTTTAAATACTGATGACTTCGGTATGATTTCCTTTACCTGTTACAATAAAAGTATTCGTCATCACATTAGATAATTTTCCACCAATACTTTGCCCACTTAGACTTAGTAAATTTAAATCCATTTGGAGGCTGACGGGACTACTGTATTGTATTTATCTATTTGGAGGTTTTTGCGGGACTATATTTGGAGGCTGGTGGGGCTATCTATCCATTTGGAGACTGGCAGGACTATTTCATCCGTTTGGAGGCTGACAGGGCGATCTATCCATTTGGAGGCTGACAGGGCAATCTATCCATTTGGAGACTGACAGGGCAATTTATCCATTTGGAGGCTGGCCGGACTATCCATTTAGAGGTTTGCGGGGCTATTTATTCATTTGGAGGCTGGCTGGACTATCCATTTAGAGGTTTGCAGGGCTATCTATCCATTTGGTGGCTGACAGGGCAATTTATCCATTTGGAGGCTGGCCGGACTATCCATTTAGAGGTTTGCGGGGCTATTTATTCATTTGGAGGCTGGCCGGACTATCCATTTAGAGGTTTTCGGGGCTATTTATTCATTTGGAGGCTGGCAGGACTATCTATCCATTTGGAGGCTGACGGGTCTATATTTGGAGGCTGGTGGGACTATTTATCTATTGTGGTAGGGAAGAAAAAAATATATAAATAAAGTTTGTACCGAAGATATTTCCTTACTTCTGCTGTTCAACTTGGCACCAGTGAACCTCACAGCCAACAAGCCACCTCAACAACCTGGGTGCATAGATGACTAAACTTCAACCCACACCACAGCTTAGTCATAATCTGCCCTCGCTTAAAATATCCACTGATCATAACTAGATGTTTATATATGAGATAAAACTTGCTGGTGGCAGCACACTGAAAACACTCTGGTTATAAATTGTGAACATTTGGCCTGTTATAAACATGTGGCCTTAACTGTTAATACGTACTCTGTCTGACTGGTCTGTAGGTAATGCACCCTGGATACTTCCCAGTGAGTTATACAGATCAGTCTACAAGGTCTTTCATTTCTGTAAAAAATTAATTTGACATACATATTAAGCACCACAAGTTTATGCTATCTTTCATGATCATATTTCTCACACACACAAACACATTTCCATGGTACGGTCTAATGCTCTTATGCTCAAATGGATAAATACAGTATCTGCCAAAAGTCAAAGGCATGTTTATACTGTATATGCTAGAATTATATTTTTTAAGCAAAGCCCATACTGAGGTGAAAAAGCTTAAACGGACAAACAGAAAAGGCAAATATTTAATGCCTCATCCTCCCATAGATGGCAGATATTCCCCGATATACATATGCCCAATAAAGAGAAAAATTAAATTAAACGAGACTCATATTGACCCATGCCTTTCTTTACAACAAAAATTTTGCTTTAATGAATAAATCTCAAATTCTGATGCCTTTTTTTTTTCCTTTACAGAATGTGAGCTCTAGGCCATCACATGGTCAAGATGGCCACAATTGACCAACATTTTTCTTCCCCGGACTCTACAATTTGAGTGAAGTTTTTCACATAACGAATTGATTTCCAGAAACACAACCCCTTTTTACATCAGGGCATACCTGCAGATACTTAGGAGAGCCATGAGCAGAGTGGAAGTTTAGATGCATTAAGCTTCAAAGTAAGATGATGGTATTTGTCTGCATATACAGTACAGGTATTATAGACTCTCAACGGGATTTGTGCGCTCATTTCACCTCGTACAGAACAATCACCAGCTAGACGGCAGTGGTTCACGTGTATGGTAAAATGACATTAGTGTAATTTTTGTGTTAAGACTGCGCTGGATACCTACCTGCAGCCTGAGTACTCCTCAACAACATATTATTATTAATTTTATCACAACTTCAATACTTGAATGTGGTTTGCATGCAATCTGTTGAATCTGATCTGTCCTCTCAGCTTTGTAGAGTGTCACCTATCTGGATCACACAATACCTAACAAGAAACAAAAGATAAATAAAAATCATCAGTTATAAATTCCATCTTTCTGTGGGTGTTATCAAATGTGACCCTACCAAATATCACATGTTTCCTCTTGCTTTCTTCCTGTACTAACACTGGACAATAAAGATCATAATAAAGTATCAAAGAACAGACCAACTCTCCAAATGACGAAGAAGCTGAAAAAAGGCAAAATGATAAATAAAAACAAGACACATTGAAGTTATTTCTCAACTACTGAACTAAGACTTTATTTTATTTTTTTTTGCAACTGTAATAAACTCAGGAGCCTCTCCCCTCTACAAAATCCCTGAATAGAATAATCAGATCACAGGAAAATTATCCCCAGCAGCTTATTTCACTTTCAAATCAACAACCTTAATGCTAACCTAACTCCCTTTTCAGGTAGCAATAGGGTGTTTAATCATCAGGTGACATAAGCTGGGGGAGGAGGGGGGTTAATCTTCAAGCAATCAAAATAATCACACAGTATCACAAATTGGCCATCAACTAACAGGTCTCTGCACCCTATCTACTCCAACAGTTAAGTAAACACAAACTGTACATCCTTTTTGTTATCGTTTCTACACTTCAAACCAGCACTCGTCAGCATGAGGCCTGTACACTCACAAATGAAAATAAAAGTGAAATAGTTCATGTTTTCTGAAGCAGAAGTGTCAAACTCACTGACATTTCAACATAAATCTACGGCAGTTGGCTAAATCCGAGTGTGTGAAGAGCAGAGGTGGGTGAAGAGTGGAGGTGTGATGGCTGAAAGCAATCTGATTGGCTTGGCTTAGCTGGTGGGATATTGAGATTCCCCCCAACACAGCAGGATTATTTAAAAGATAAAATGTACAATGCAGTATAGTATATGACTAAGGTAAACAAATTGAATAAGAAACAAATTTGAAATGATGAAACTGTTCTTATATTGAATTGGAAAATATGAACTCATTACGCTATATGCCCACAGTGGTCTGGTTTCTTTGACGCTAAACTAGACAACAGATATGAACAAACTAAGCCTTGGTTAGGTTAGATTTGTTGGAATATTGTTCAACCAATCAGATGGCATTTTCCATATACAGTAACGCTACATCTGATCCAGTAACCTTTGATCCAATCTCATCTGTCCTTGGTAAGACCAAAAAAGAAAGAACAGCCAGAATACAGAGTTTCTAGGACAAATGGTTTCACTCGGAGAATCATCAATGTCGTGGCTGTTAGGTGCTGCACCCTAGTGAGAGATGTGCAACTCTATGGCAGACTTTATCATAAGTGCTACCATTCATCAATCATTGGCTCTTCTAGCAAAATTATCTCAGATAATCGAAGTACTTGGACAAGTTTATACAGGTATTGTTCTTTACTCATTCCCTTACCAGACCCCCAAACCAACAAAGGCTTGATACCGTACACAATCCAGTCACTATCGGCGTCTATTGCAATACAGAAGTGTTGAGTCTGTAATGCGCCTGACTGCTTCAGAAACATGTTGAATGGTTCTCCATGTGTTCAGGAACTGATGATAATGCGAAACTGGCAACAAATCAATCTTTCTGCTTAATGTCATCACCTTCTTTGTATTTTAAAATATACTGTACGTAGATACATTACGGTACACCAACATTAACATATCCTCATGAACTTCATAGTGAACACAAATACAAAATTTTGCCCTTTATTTTAAGACAAATAATCCAGTAGCCAATACATAAAATGTAGCAACACAACATAATTGAACAGAGATTGTTAATATGTCTCAAACCTGGTTATTAAGTTAGCCCAGTTACAAACAATGGCAACGCTCCAGTACAATACAGTATAGTGCTGTATTATTCTTTACTTATTATCTGTGACCTATAGAATGGTTCTAGTTGTTGAAAAAAAAAAAAAATATATGATCACACCAGCATGAGGACTCCTACATTGCTACCAAAGTACTAAATCTAATACTGTACCTAGCTCTTAGTGTCCACAACTCATGTCCTCTGATATTCTTCCTTCCCTGAGAATCAAAGAAATGATACACCAGAGGCATTTTTTATGCTAATTTCAACAATTTATTGCCATACAAAACAATGATTTACAGTAGTAATCATTCTAGGTTCACACAAGCCAAATGAGGCAGCGTGAGTGTTACTGGAGACTTCTCCGAGTGAACCTCTTTGATGTTACTACCACAGGTTGTACACCACACCAATAAAAATCAGATTACCCAGTAACACATGAATAATCTGTGATACGAGTTTAATCTGATGCTGGCTCTAGCTATAACTAAACTTATCTAGCCATTTTGGGACTCTGGCATGGATATTTGGATAGGTACCCTAATATTTTAGCATTACATATACTGTACATATACCTGTACCGAATATACATAACACAACCATGAGAAAGAATGTATTAAGGAAATGGATGATTATGTATGCATAACTTGTACAGAAAAATCCAACAGTGATGTGATTAGTAATGTTGCAGTGATGTACCATCGATGGAAATGGAACATCTGCACAGTACCAGTACCTATAGGATTAAAACTAAGTCATTTTGTAATTTTAATTTATATTTTTCTCATGTTCTGGTTATTTACCCCCCCAAATAATTTACACACACATGCACACAAAAGTAATATTAAAATCACGATAAAGATTTTATTGGCTCTAAGAGATCAATCACACTGATGAACAGACAAAAACTTCTTCCCTTTCAAGCCATCAACACCTTAAGAGAGAAGTAGCAGCCACGTCCTCTCTCACCTGATGCTCGAGCTTCTTGCAAAACTTCTTACAGTATTTTGTTTGTACACCACTTAACATTTTGTGTTGCAAACATAAGTAATATATTGTTGGAGTTTCTTACCAGTAATGTTAAATCCTCTTAGCCTGGCATCAAAGAGAAATACCTGGTATACACACACACACTACAGATTAATACTGGCTGAGCTACTGGGTAAATAACCACTGTAAACATATTAATCATTACATTTTCTCTGGGAAGGCCACTGCTGTCTGGTTTGGATCTGTACAGTATTTTCTGTCTCCTGCGATGTAATTTTTACTAATTACAATAGTGTAAATGACAGTTCGTTCTATTGCTCATCTTCACCCTAATACTGAAAGAGTAACTTTCTCACTTGGGATGTCCCAGCTGTCTCTCCACTCCATGCACTTCTTGAGTATGGATTTATCAGGTAATGACATACTCTTGCACCCTGTAAACCCTTCTAACCACCTTTACTGTTGCTCAGTGCCAACCATTACAAAGATATATATTAATGTACTGTGTTTACAAGGCGCAGTTGCCACCAATAACATAATCATCTCAGGACAAAACCTGCCTGCGTGTATTTTAGATTTAAAAACCATAAAATAGGAAATGGTTACTGACCTCTGTCCAGCTGTCAATTTATTTTTATTAAAACCCCAGTATGCAAAAGTCTTCTGTTATGTGACAAGTAAGAAGCCTTTGCATACATAAAATTAATCTAGTCACAGTATGCATACAAATATATACCTGGTAAATACGCCACAGCACGTGACATAAAATACAAACACAGATACGGTATTTGTTTGTATCAGAGGTGAACCAAAAATAGAAATTCTGAAACGGCACAATTCCTTTACAGAAGTACAAGTGTAAAAACACCATCATAATACTGTACTGATCACTTATCTAAATAAAGCTATACAGTACACATATGGTATTACCAATAAACAACTCTACTGTTCAGATTAAAAAGACTTATGTGAAGAAACCTCTGAACTGTTGACCCACAGCCAGAGTATGAATCCCTGCTCAATCCATTAGGCCTATACCTGTATATACAAGCTTAATGTGGGAATGAACTGTCCAAACACTTGCACTCTTGTAACATTTAACCTACAGTAGTGGTTGTCATACACTTGAATCGCTAGTCTCAGTTTATTATTAGATCCTTCCTCTCAATGACCAAGTCCCGAGACAACACAAATGTCTCTAATGGTCCGCCCCTAAAACAGGTGACAGGAGGTAGAGACTGCACTCCATAAATGTTCCCCATTCAGTCATGTAAGTGTAACCAGACAACTCAGTGCCCTACAAGATAATTTATATACTGTACAGTACTGTATTAGATACTTTCTACCTAGTTAATCCCATCAGTATGACGACTTAATTTTAAAAGTACTGTACTGTATTATTACTTGACCTCTTGAGTATGATGTCAACTTATTTAAGAAAATAGGCCAAAATCAAACGGTTCAGGTATTGTACTCAAAGGGTTAAAATATCGTACTCAAAGGTTCCGGTCATCGTAATAAAGGTGTTAAAGGCATCTCTGTTAGGAAGGAATATACTGTACTGTACAGGCACTATAACATCGCCTGGTCTGGCACAATACCATGCAACACCATTATGTAAACATCAGAGCTACAGAACAAAATAAATAAACATAAGACTTGACACCACCACAAAGTGTAAAAATCAAAGAAAACCCTTAAACTCGTGCACATCTCGAGTAGTAAACAAGAGAACGGCATTTAGGCTAGTGCTGTAGCAAACACGTACAGCACGACAATAGGGAGTTGGAAGAAAGTAAACAAAATTTTATTCAGCAGATAAGTTATTAAATGAAGGAATCCTTGCAGATCCTTGTTGCACAGGAATCAGGATGCTACTGGGTTATAGGATTGAAGGATGTCATGAGTGGTATGGCCCATTCTAGGATAACTCTGTATGGGGGTCGGAGCTCAGTTGAGTGGGGAATCAAAGCAAGTCCGAGATCTCTAACGCAACCCAAAACAGTTGACAACAAGCACCCTATAGAAACAAACAGTAAATCCCTCAAAATGAGATAATTATATGGAAGGCCGCACCACACGCTGAACATTCACTATCAGTTCAGCATCTAGTATACTGGTTTATACAGAGATCAGCTGTTCATCAATATGCTAGATCCCTTACTGATTAACAAACTTTATGAACAAGACAATCCAATTTATGAACAAGACAATCCAAGTTACTGTGGTGGTCAAGCTATCTCATGATACTGGATGCAAGCATTCGACTCACACTTACGGCTTACGTGAAAATAACCAGACAAGACTTATGCTTTAAATGATAAATGATCTCTTAAGAATTCTTTTTCAGCATCTATCACCAGGAAAAGTTTGGCAAGAATGGTGTTTAGAATATAACCTAACTGACTCATACAGGAAAGAGTAAAGAAAATAAAAGACAGCACACACAAAACACCAAATATTTTGTGTGTGTGAGTAAAGTTTGTCTTCTTCTGGGATCTAAAAATACTAAGCACAATATTCACACAAATAAAAAACCATTTAATTTCTTTAACCAATATCAACAAGTATGGATGACCGCACTATGGCATTTGAATGTTTACTGTATGTGTGCCTTCTGTCATCTTCATACTTGTGTGTACAGGCGTTCCCAGTATTGTGACGATGTATTTACTGTACAGGTATGTTTAGGGAGAATATGCATACATCCACATGTAGGCGCATTAACACAGGTACGGACACATACTCCACTTACTGTATCAGTAGGCGTGTCAGTTGTGTGTTGCATCTGCTTCATGTGTGTTCAGATGTGCAAGTATCAAGAAACATACAGGTGCTGACTTTGTGTGTGTGTGAGTGTGTTGTTTCCCCAAAAAGATTGAGTTAACTCCCCATGTCAGGTGTGGTGGTATGGTCCTGATGCTAGCCAAGAGAGCAGACTAACTAAGGACCATACTACTTATCAGTGATGCTTAATAGTGTGTTATGAGTGTAACATGATACAGTTTTTAAAGACGGCAAGTTTTTGTAATTCAAATGCGAGTCACACAGTAAATGATGTGGTCAGGACATATACAGTGGCTTCTAATGCATGATTCTGAGTGGCAGGCTCTTGTAAACATTGAGAACCTTGAGAGCAATAAATCAAATAACAACTCTCCCATTGCAGATGAGATCAAGCAGAATCACACACTGCCAACTGACTAAACAAATTGAATCAGATGAAGAAGAAAGAACAAAATATCTTGTTTCAAAAGGCATTTTGATTCCATTTTCATTTTTTTCCCCGACTAATATCAACCATGAGGAATTCTATTAAGCCCAAAAAGATAGCATATGATGCTGTAATTAAAGAATCTATTCATCATGTCTACCACTTATCAGGTTACTAGATATTCGGGCGGTTGGTACAGTCTGTTATATAAGCTACGACATTTATCGTCCAGTGTTAGTTCAGGAGGAAACCGGAGTACCCGGAGAAGATGTGATGTTTGGTATGGTTACACTGGACAATACCCTTCTCACATCAGAACTGAGCCAGAGAACGAACCCAGTGCACAATAGTGAGAGGTACACACACGACTAATGTACCACCCACACCAATCAACTGTGGTTATTTAAAGCATAACTGTAATCTCATACAATATTATACTGTACACTGAAAATTCACCCAAAATAATGTAGCTACATAATTTATCGGAACAATTGAATTTTGGTGTGCAACATCTGGCAACACAGGTGTATGTAATTGGATTTTAATTTGTTTTTGGTAGAGAGATATTCCAAGTTATTTTTTAAGCCCCTTTTTTCTGGTGACTGTTACTAGTTTCCTTGGGTAATATTTTACAGCTGAGGCACCACATAATAAGCGGTTTTAAGGATTTTAATTCTAAAACATTTGTTACATGAATATATTCATAGCTAAGGGAAGTATCAGAACTGAAAAATGGGGGACCTTGGCTTTACGTAGAAAACAGTACAGTACTCTGTGCCCTCGGAGCCTCGGCAAACCGACAGATTGGTAGGTACAGTACTGGTATTTAGTTAGAAAAATCATCACAAAAGTATACAATGCTTCAGCACATGCATATAAGATATAAACAATGGAGGTATACAACACTATCTGATTCAGTCCTGCTAAGCCAAATCTATTTCAGAGATGATAGTTTTCAACGGATTAAAGCAGTGAAAGTGCAGCAGACAATGATAATGCATTTAGTAAACTCATCATTGAAGTTTACTATTAGTTTGGCATGTATTTAGACAATAAAGGTATACAGTTCAGCATGTGTAAGGCGTACATAGACTGTGCCGGTATAGTTTCTAATGTACCTAGACAATCCAGGTATTTTATACTGTACAGGAATTGTAAACAGCAAGACAACATGACCCGGAATAGCCTGACAAAGTCACCAGATGCTTTGTCGACTATCTTGAACTGCACAGTATAGCGACACAACCACAACCAACTGATCACGTCTTACGTAAACTTTTTTTTTTAAGTTCTCACACCGATCCATTACCTAAATACAAATATCCAACGAGCGAAGAAAATAACATCTGTAAAAATAATAAAAAAATTCTTTAAATCTTCATCGAAATTATCGTCGACTGCCAACCTAACCAAAATCGAGACACGACGATAATTCCTCATGACGGAGAATATTATTGACCTGCTAAACCATAAGTGATCTCAATTAATTTTGTCGGTTATATCATGCTGCCCCACACCATATGCTAGTATAAATGCATTGCCCTAGCAGTTTGAGCCAGCGTTGTCGACTGTCACAACGCTTCGTATACATATTAGTACTGCATATAATTTTCATGGGTTCAGGATAGTAGTTATATATGTTCCTAAACTAGATTTGAATTATGTGCATTAAATAAAACATGGCCATGAAATCCCAACATAAAACAAGATAATAACATGGCGACCTTCTCCTTAACCTACAATCTCACTCTTTACTGACAACCTCGAAGGATTACAACCCCAATATTAAGATTTCTTTCATTTTCTGTGCCAATAGTAGCCTCAAGTGACATAATATGACCCACGAATTACTTGTTGTTAATGATTACAGGTGGCCACTCGTAAACATCCATTATTGTTCCCTTGATCATAAAGCATACCTATGAAAGACATGTTCATATAGATTATATCCCTCTATATATATTCCTGCCACACTTCAATAAACAACGACGATAATTTAAGTACAGGTGTGTCTTAGAACCACCGACTGATGGTTATAATTTACTGGCCATCTGTCATATGCTGGTCTGGTGAGAAGGTAGTGAGGCCTCGACTGCTCCTCTTACTATCAGAATTACGACATAATACCAATACGTAATTAAACCTAAGTATCCCTACCACATCATGAACTAAGTAAGGAAGGAATAAAACATATGGCAGGTTCAGAAAATCAAACAACACGTAGAGAAGTTCATGAAAAAAAAAAAGTATCAATGGCAATCTGTCATGTCGGTCCTGCCCTCAGCTGATCGCAATGAACACAGGGATACCAACAACATCCACCCAAAATTCCTAATAATCAACTCTAAATACTAAACTAACACCTCAAATGGGGAAAGAATAGTTAGTTAGTGAATTAGTGATGGGTGTATGGAGTGTAGGAGGTAAGGGTGTGTGATGAGAGCAGAGTACCGGTCAGTCCCCCCGTCATGTTGGCAGCCCCTCTACCAGTTTGAAGAGATCGACAGGCTTTTCACTACCCACCAAAACCCTTAATAATACTCTCTATATATTTTTTAATTCTCCACAGCCGGCTCATACCACCATTAATCCTACCCACATATATACCTCAGGCTCAGAATTTCATCCAAAAAAATTAACACGTGGTATGGAACTGTTGGGGGTGATGTAAACAAGAAAGAGAACTGCCATATGAGTCCTGGTCACTGTACCTGTATCAGTTTGTTCCGCCATTTTTGCAGATATTTCTTCAACAAGCTGCATTAAAAAATCCCAGGGAAGTAAATCCTTAATAAGAACACATGTAATTCACATATTATTTGATGTTTGGCCTCATCGTGTTCCCTCACACTGTACACACACACAAGGATGAACTGAGGCTGAGCGGCAACAGTCTAGCCTCGCGCCCGGGCTCATCAAAATTCCTGCCGAGTAGAAAACGGGACGCCATGATGTTAAAGGGGCCCAGAATCTGCCGTTTTTACTCCATCAAACGCCATTAACGCTCCTTTAAATCATTTCATTTTACAATATTACGTGAATTAGTTTACACGGATAAATATACACATAATGCGTAAATAAATATGATTACAATATTATCGATCTATTTTTAATTGGCTTGAAAATAAGAGCATTGCCATCATCAATATCACACCTTGAACGAAAATGTATATACATTTATTTTTCTAACAGTGTTAAGAAGGGATAATAAACCAAATATAGATGCATTTCCAACGGTTTCTGTCGGCGTCTCTCATTCTCGAGCCCCCTTAAAAAGAGAACCCATCAGCCCGCTGGAATAGCCAATCATATGCAAGGATTGTGAGAATGGGCGGAGTGTTGGCTACGTCACGGCGGGGCGCGGGAGAGGTGGGCCAACCCCGTAGAGGAGCTAAATAAAATTTTTGTTCGCTTTCATTCTAGGGCCGTTCCGGAATAGTCACTCCGATAGTTGAGAAATAATCCATGTGTATCATAAGGGCGATTTTCCCGCGTCTCCCGTGTTGCGAATAAAGTTTTTTTTTTCTTCTCTCTGTTACATTCCGTTGATTTACCACGAGTCGCGCGGGGGAGGGTGAAGGAGAACAAATGCTTTGAATCACACTGTTCCAAACAACCGGAAGTTCAATTTCTAAATTTGACCTCTGCCGCGCAAGGGCATTAAACTAGCAGCGGTCGCTTAGTTAAGGCGGTCGCTGGAGCGGGGTGACTGCTATAGCAGATGCGGAAAGGGAATGGGGGCGGAATAAGCGGGGGGGAGAGGGTGGGAGGGAAGGGGGGAGGGTGGGAGGGAGAAACGTTACTATGGATCTAGGAAAGTTTCAGATTATTCTGGCGTTTTCAGTATGACATGATTTATATTTTCATGACGTCACGAGTTATTTTTTCATCTCCTTAACCAACCGTGGTGACGAGAATCGATGCCACGGTGATAATGAATAATGGTGCGGGGTAAACGACGGTTATAAAACACAAGGAATAGGTAAGCGAACAAACAAACGGTAGATCAGGCACGGCATGGCATTTACAGCATTAAGGGGGGCGGGGGGTAAGTTACGAGGGGGGGGGGGAGCGAGCGAGCTATCTCGGAACGGCCCTACTGAGGGAGACTCTCTCCCTCTTTCGCTCCCTCTTTCTAATGGGCGTTTTCCTTTATTTATTGTTTCGTTGCATGGAGATTTAGTAAGGATATAAACTAGATGTCTCAAGAATATATCATAGAGAGCTGTTTGTCAGGTCGCGGGGCGGTAATTAAGAGATAGTTGTTAGGTGATATCTAGGGACGGCCCTAGTACCCTTCACCCCCATAGGTCCCCCTTCTCCACCACGCTCCCACACTGAGCCCTCCATCCGCCCCTCCCCCTTCCCTCCCCTCCCTCACTCTCAACGCAAGCCCTCTAGCCCTCAGCTCTGCTCTCTCCCCTCCACTACCTCTCGTCTTAACATTGATTCTGCTTTTCTTTACTTGCCAATATTCATATCGTCGATACCAATTCATTTCGCAGGGTCTCTGGCGCTCTCATTACTTCTCGCCACACCTGTCGTAGGGGATGACCTAAGATAGTCCAACTGTCGTAATTATATCGAGTTTCGTCCAATAAGCAAGAGGCCTTTTCCGATTGTTCAAGCACTGCCTTGGTCAAAATCTTAAGACGTAGTAAAGGAAGATATTGTACCGTCGAGCTTATTTTATACTTTCTGGGTCGACATCTTGAATTAGTTTTATAATACAAGTTAATAATTAAAGAAACCCCACAAGTGTCTTTATTAATCAACCAAGTGAACTCTTACATCCTGGCTGTTCTTAAACCTCTTCATGACAAGTCTTTAAAAGTTTTTCCTATGATTCGTGAAGATCCTATCCCGAGTTCGACGCGCAGTTGAGAAAAGTTTGAGTGTGAGAGGCGGATGGCGTAGTTAACCATCCACGCGACTGGCCATGTGTATACGTTAGTTAAAGACTCGCAAACAAGCAGTAAAGTAATCAAACAAGTAAGTATTGTAGTGGTGATTACTGCGTCAGAGCTGCTCCTCTACCTGCTGGGTCATGAGGTACACAGGGGCGGACCAAATGCTGCCAGAGGAATATCCCAGCGAACTTGCCAGAATGCAGAGATTCCCAGCAGCCCGTGTACAGTACTTCTGGATAACAATACCAACAGCTATACTACTATTGGGGAAAATTCCAAGTACCTATTCCGGAGAATATCTCAACAGCCAAGGCGCTAATGGACAAAATCCCAACAGCCAAGGCGCTATTGGACAAATTCCCAACAGCCAAGGTACTATTGGACAAATTCCCAACAGCCAAGTCACTACTGGACAAAATCCCAACAGCGAAGGCACTACCTGACAAAATCCCAACAGCGAAGGCACTACTGGACAAAATCCCAACAGCGAAGGCACTACCTGACAAAATCACAATAGCGAAGGTACCACCGGACAAAATCGCAACAGCAGAGGCATTAATGAAGAAAATCCCAGCAGCCAATTTAGTAATAGGCAAAACCTCAGAAACCCAGTGTACTGCAAGACAACATCCCAGAAACCAAGGTACTCATGGACAAAATCCCACCAACTAACCTACTACTGGACAAAATCTCAACTACCACCTCCAGATTTAATCCTGGACAAACAAAATCCCAGTCAGTTTATCAATGGACACAAACTCCCTATCATAATAAAACGCATGACGTCACCACCACACCAAGTTTCTTTCACTTTAAGTTAGGTAAAGTTCAGGAGGTCAAGTTACATTAGAATATATTATGCAATGTTAGGTCAGTCGGATTTTAGGTGAGAGGCTAGACTAGGAAATGTAAGGTCACGTCAAGTACGAGAGGTCAAGTGATGTTAATAGCAAGTCGACAAAGCGAAATTAGATTATATTAAGTTAGGCTGGGTTAGGTTAACTTCAGGAACGGCAGTGGTGTTAGATTAAGTTAGGTTTAGTCTAGGAGGCAAAATTAAGTTCGGTTGGGTTAAACTAAGTGCTGAAAATGAAGTTATTTTAAACTAGGTTAGATTAGGAGGAATTTTCGTCCTAAACGCTAGACATAAGAGTTGATAGTAGGTGATGGGGAGGGGGGGAGGGAGTACCGTATTGCAGGTACATTATGTCAAGACGAAAGGAGGGGGTTAAATTGCAACAGAGGAGAGGTAGACCTTGCTCAATACACACTCTTGCACAACACATATTTATAACCAAAGCATTATGACGTCATTGGCCACCTAGACGGGAGGAAAACTATTAAAAGAACACATACACACACACTTCATATCTCTGAGGCTGGATAAATTAAGTTGTCACGGTACGAAGGAGTGGTAGTTGGTGCTTCTGATTACTATGGTACAGTGGACAAAGAGTAAGTTTACAAAGGTCAAGAACCCACGTTTGATCTTGGGAGAAGAGGAGGAATCGATCTTCGGGGTGTGGTGTTTCACAAGCACTGAGATTAAGTTCAAGGTAGATGAAACAAAAATCCCAGTAAGAGTTTCCCATCGCCCAAAAATGAAAAAAAAAATCCTATCTCGGCAGGTTAGGTTAGGTTACGTTCGGTTAGGTTAGGTTTGCGTTAGGATGTTTAATTATCAGGTGAAATAAACTAAGGTGCCTATTTTTCACCTTTTATTGTTCATGATTCCACTTAAAAAAGACTTGCATTTAACGTCTTAATTTCCTGAATCAGTCATAAAGCCTATCATCTTTCACATCCATATCAAGAAGGTATAACTTCATTATTCACTACCAAAAGATTATTCAAAGCCCACAACGGTGCCAAATTTCACTTCCAAAGTACCATTCATTTACATGCAGAAATTAGTAGCTTCATTGAATCTAACGACAAAGGCATTTAATTCAGCCATAAGCGCTTCTCTCTTTGTATAATGCCCAAGGTCAGTGTTGAAGAAAGCACAGATATTAGTAGATGCAACATGAATCCTATAGCTGGTTATATTTAAATTAGTCACTGCACAGTTCTTGCTACCAGGAATACTTTAGCCGTATCAACATGTTCTTACCTTTCCCTTTTCGAAGCCGCTCGCGTAGCACCACTAACATACTGTATGGAACACAAGACGATCCTCACCCAACTACGGGTTTCGGTAAACTAACGTATGTATGTTGACAGTTGACACTTCTTGACAGTTAACGTCTGCGGGGATGTAGTTAAGTCTAGCGATTGGCGCTGTAGGAAAAAGGAACAAAACGTGTTAGTTGAACCCAGAGAATCCCCCCTATCATTAAAATTTCATACCTCGAGATACCAGGGAGGAAAAGAGATGAAAAAAAAAGGTTTTATAATCAACACCACAAATGTAGTTAGTGTACAGAATTGCTTTGAAAACTTTCAAATGTAACAATAGAATAACGTCTGTTGACAAAACATATCCAACATACATCACCCATGTGCTGAGGAACATTCAGTCGATACCTCCTTTCACGTTCGTCACCCTCGCCCATGTTATATGGATGCCTGAGAAAGGTAATGTTTTAAACTCGGTAATGGAAACAGCCTTTATGTATCGTATTGGGTAAAAAAAAAATTAAGACAAAATTATGGCATAGTGACTGTCATGTATACCTTTGTGAAACAGTTTTGGATAAGTTCTCACGTCCCCGGTTTAAGGGGGTTTAGGAGGAGGAGGAAATTTCAACTAACGGAATCTCCTGTAATTCGCGCCAAAAATCGAGCTCCATGTAGTAATGTAGTACCATTGGGAGATAGCCTCGTACTATCTACTGTTGATTGTCACAGTTTGTCTTGATCATGAGCGAACATAAAGAAGTGTTGGGGATTTTTACCCTGACAAAGGAAGAGCCAAGGGATATTACATGATTTTTTTCGTCCTGCATATTCTGGGGTTTTACTGGGATTATTTCTGAGTTTATCCCAGTATTGTCC